ATTAAAATTTAAAAAAATAGCTGATAAGTATTCTGAACACCTTGGTAAATCACATACTTGTCAGAGGATTTAAAAAAAGAGTCACCAGATTTACTATACTTGTGAAATTGTCAGGGTGCCGTGGTCTAAGGCATGAAATAGCTCCTCCCTAAACAACAAGGTACTTAGCACTTCCCACTGCTGGGAAGGCTAGAATTCTATTCCTTGGGTGTCAGAAAACTTCAGTGGGGCTAAATAGGAGGGCCCTAGAGCAAATTAAGGCTATAATACAACGACCCACCGTTCTGGGCCACATGGTATGGCATACCTCAATATTCTAGAGATACAGTCTCTGGCAAGCACTGATTATAGAACTCATCAACACAAGCCTCTACTGTTCTAGAGCTAAGCTATTTTTTCTGGAGCCTTACCTACCTGGAAAACAAAAACAAAAACAAAAACCTGTAAAGCAACTGCTAGCATTCTAATAATTACATAACAAAATAGCGAATGTGTGACCAGAACTACCCACTAAAAGCTGGGCGGTATCAGATATATAAAGCCATAAGATCAGATCAGCAGAGTTGCAATTCACAGTATGGTCAGGATAGGGTCCAATTCAGAAAAAGGTAGCCAAGTCCCCAATGGCTTTACTTCCAAAATACCAACACCTCGACCACCTTTGTTTTAGTGGACTTCACTACAATAGCTAACAGTGTAGAGAAAGGAATTGACATACTATCTTAGGGCACACCAAAATTTGCTGCCATAGTGGACTTTGAAAATCTACCTACTTGGTTCGGCTTTCACAATAAATCTCAGCAGCTCTTTGGTCTAGTGATATAAAGACAAATGAAATGCTGACCAGACATGGGACTATTTATCCCAGCTGTTTTGAGGAGCAGTTTTGAACTGCATATAGAAGCTTACTCATTCACTTTCCATAACGTCTAGGGTGCATTCGTCTGTTTCCCTCCTAGTCAGACCGCTGCTGTTTCAATCTTGCTGTTTTCACCCAGGTGGTCAAGTACAAAGCTTGCTGTCGCTTTGGGTGGTCTTCTAATACAGACTTCCAAAACTTGTGTTTTTATTTTGATTTTTGCCATTTTTCCCTTTTTCTTCAACATATGATTTATCTGTTTTCTGTATTACAAATAGAATTTACTAATCTCATTAACAGCTTTTGTTTGATTTCAAAAGCCACCTTTAGCTTATTTTTGCAGTGCCAGATATCAAGTCCACAGCCTTACATATGGGAGATGAAAACCTCTCAGCTCACTGCCAGCCCACCACCTCAGTTTTTCTTATGTTCCCCTTAGGAATACATCTGCTTTTGCTCATTCTAATTTGGCTTTCTTGGTGACTTTTTCATTTTAGTTCCAAGATTTTCTTAAAATTTTAGAATTCAGGGCTTTTGCTATTCTAGTATTGAAAGACCCCGCCCCCTGGCTGGTTCTCTCTCGGTGACACTCCCGTATGCGCGCGCACCCACATGCCTGGCGGCTGGCTCCCTCCCAAGCCGGTTCACCCAGGACGGGTCTCCTGCTACGGGGGGAATTGGGTCTGTTGTACCAGGTGCAGACCTTGAGAATATACTGATAACTCTGTACCTCATTAAATTGTCCAATAGAATCCCTGTAACTATGCTTTTCGCTTCTGCACTGTGCTTTTTAGCTATATAAGGACCCCTCTCCCTTGGCTCGGGGCTTAGCCTACCCAAAAGCTAAGCCCCGGGGTACCAGTGCTACTAATAAAGCCTCTTGCTCTTACATCCAGAGTTCGTGGTTTCGCTGATTCCTGGGTGCGGGTTTCCTACGAAAGTACCTCTTCTGAGGTCTTTCAGTATATTGTTTTCTAAACATATTAAAATTTAACGTAAGTATGGAGTTATAATTTTTATCCACTTTATGGACAGTCTTCCATATCTATGGGAATTTTACTTTGCCCTTTATCTTCTTTCATCAGTTAGCACAACAATACTTTTGCCAACTTTGTGTGAACTGGCATTTCTGTACAAGGGGGCTTGGTTTGAGGTTCTTCTTGCTTTACAAAGATGGCAATTCTGTTGTTTTAGTAACAATAATAAAAAATGCAGAAACCTGATTATAGATTTCTTTAGATCTTAAAAGAAATTATGTGGTATGTTAAGGGCCATGGGCCCTAAACTATGGGTTTTAAAGCCCATCTTTGTAAACCCTTCTATGAGCCTCCTGTAACCTGTAATCAGATGGTTTGGCCACACGGAACTGCTAATTGCTTCTGCTCCGAGAAAGGGCCTGGGGCTTTCCTGTTCTGGGGAAGATCACAAGATATTCCGGCTGATAAGAAGAATGCTCCAGCTCCTTCCTGTTATCCCCCGCCTGCCTAATTTCCTTGTTGCAGGGCTATATAAGCCTAGTCTGAACCCCAATAAATGGAAGCCTTGACAATGCATAGACGGACTCTGGTCCTCTTTCTTTTGGGCCGCTTGGCTTCCTTCCTTCTCCCGCCCATGACTCTTTTTCAGGCAGCCCCCCTCCGGAACCCTGAATGACTGACCCGCAGGATGGGACAGTGGTAGATATAAAATGGTATTGGGGGAAAATCAAATGTAACAAGAAATACTTGTAGCCAAAAAAAAAAAAGAAGAAGAAAACCAAATTTGCTATAGGACAAGCAATAAAGGGCTCCATCCTATAAAAACAAGGCAGACCTTTCTAAGTGTGCCCATTTCATAGCCAATTCCATTGTGAATAGAGTTCTTTGTATAATGAAACGAGATATAAAATATTTCAATGCTAAAACATTCAAATGGAAACAGATTTTTATCTAAAACTTCACCCCAGCAAACTAAAATCTTCAACTGTCATTTACAATAACTTAATAAAGGGATTGTTTTGTATAAAAATGTGCTAAGACCCAGACTGATGGCCCAGGGGACAAGTGCTACACTAAGCCTTGACAGAGCCTTTTGACAGCCAGCAGCAATGAATGCAAAGTAACTGATACTTGTAGAGCACTAAAAGGAACTTGTGTATCATACCCTCCATGGTTCAGAGGCCATCACAGAAGAAGGAGTGGAAAGGACTATAAGAGCTGGATAATGGAGAAGTGCTGTGGGAATCATGAACTCACTGGGCCTGCTCAGGACTGGACCTATCGACCTTCAAGTCAGAGATGGCAGAAGAGCTTATGGGGTCCTGTGCCTCCACAGTATACTAATGACTGTAGACAGCTGCTGGAGAAAGGGGTGTTTTTTTTTTCCTTCAGTGGTGCAGCTACTGCTGAGTCCCCTATGTTCCAGCAGATAGGCCCACAACCTTGCTCAGATGGGATGCCCTGGATAAACTCAGTGCATACTGAAAACAGAAACAGGTGGGAAAGAGACTTGCAGCGGGTGAAAAAGTAGACAGGACAGTGGTTAGAATGCATTATAAGTGTCTATGAAATTGTAAATTACTTGAAGTAAGTGTAAAAAGAAAAAGGAAAGTTAAATTGTATTAAAAGAAAAAACATTAGCTTGATGCATGTCCTATATTTTTTAATTAAAAACTTCTTTTCTCATAAGAGCCCTTTGCTGAAGACCTTACCAGCTAAAGGCAAGGACTGGTATTTCTGTATGAATGTATGCTACTGAAACCAAGGCTTTTCTACATAAAATAATTCCAAAATGTAAATACAACAGTGGTGACAGCTGTCTCCAGACAACTGATACAGTACAGTGTCAGCAATACATGGATTTTAAATATTTAACCAAAGACTTCAAGGGATGTTCCAAAGATGTGAGGCTTGTAGCTGTATCCAGTGACCAAGGGAAGATGCACCCAAAGTGTGACAACTACAACTAAATACCTCTTTTATGGAATGTACCCCTATTACTGTGAAAAAATACAAGCAAACTGTGATTAACTCTCTAGAACTAATGGCTAAGATGTGGGAAACACTGAGGTACAAATTGAACAACAACAATAACAAAAAGCAACTGATCTGTGGGGGACCCAATATCTCTGTTATGGAATATTTTGGGTCCCAGTCTCAGGCTGCCATTGGTGCCAGGAAGCTCCGGGTCACCATTGTATTGTTAATTAACACTAGGCTGTTACTGTTTACGATAGCCTCAGGGTAATATGCTTCGTATTTGCATCTGTATGTGCCTAAGCATCTGAATAGGCCATCACCTGGGTGGAGGAGAGAGAGGTATGAGTAACTTGTGAGGACAGAAGGTTTGGGCAAGGGAATAAAGAGAAATGGTTGCCTCCTAGTATTAGCAGGATGGTTAAGAGACACCAGAAAAGATGTCTAAAAAAGAAATGTCTCTAGTTCCACAACATGGAACTGAGAGCTCTCTGAAGATGACAAGATGCCTGTGTTTGGTCTTTATCACCGTTGGGTTCCTCGAAGCTTCCAGGTCCACACACCCCAACTCAGGTAGAACCTCATGGAATAAGGCTGAGACATGCTGGGTCACGACACTGACCAAATACAGGTACTAGACTATGAGAGCAACTCACAACTAACAGGCTTCACCAAGGCCCCGTGTGTTGAGTGGTGGTGAGAACTGTTTAACTCTACAGTGTCTAAGACATTACTAAGAAAGCACATGAATAAGTATTTTGGAGAAAAATACAAAATTTTTAAATGAGCTGTATTTGCATATTAACAAACTTAACAACTCTATAGAAAAGACATTTTTTTTGTTTTTTTGATATACTGGGTTAAAATAACTGAAATCTGAGAAGTGCTCCAAACAAAATAAAAACAGAGAGAAATCAAATAGGACTAAGCATAATGGTAATAATAATGGACTCTAGAATAACATGTTTTCTATTATTTCAGTGAACCCTTAAAACAATTTTTAACAGCTGGGCGGTGGTGGTGCATGCCTTTAGTCCCAGCACTTGGGAAGCAGAGGCAGCAGGATCTCTTGAGTTCGAGGCCAGCCTGCTCTACAGAGTGAGCTCCAAGACAGAGAAACCCTGTCCCAAAAAACAAACAAGAACAAAAAACGTTTTATAACAATAAATCAACCTTCCAAACAAATATTCACCACATAAAAATTGACAAAGTTTATTAAGAAACATTAGTAGTGGGTGGTTTTTAAAAAGAACATAAAAGATGACAATCCACAAGACATATACAAAGACAATCAAGATATTAAATAATATCTGAATTAAAGACCATAATTCAAATTGCTAATTATAATCACTGTGTCTTGGTGAAGTGGTTGTGGCTCTCCATGAAATTCATCCATCTTCTCAATGAAAGCTAATGAGACTCACTTCAAACTCAATCATGTAATTTACTGCAGCCAATGCTGAGAACACGGTGCTAAGCATGCACTGTACCAGAGAGCACAAGATGCTGTCTGAACAATCTTTTCTTCAGGTGTATCTCAGCCATCTTTTAAAGTGCAAGCTACAAATGGGCTGTTTCCTAAACAAAAGGTTGTAAAAGACACCTCTATAACAGCTATCCAATACTGCCTTAAATGGTTATATAACTAACCCAAGGAAGCCGGCAGTCCTCCACTGACTGGCTCAGTCTGGCTCTTACTGTGCTACCAGCCGAACATGTACTCCATCGCTCTAGACACAAGACTTTCGTCTTTTTTTGGTGTTTGTCTATCAGAAATAACCTGTTAAAACACACACAACAAAGAAGAAAGAGGAAAAAGAACAATGAGTTAGGTTACAGTTTCTTTAGTGGCAATCAATTCTACAGTAATATCTAATTTAAAATAGAAACAACAAAATGAACTTATAGCATTGAACAATGTAATAAGTTTGACACTAAAATTTGGATTTTTTAGCATTAACATTTACCATTTCCAATTAGAAAACTAGCTAAGAAAAACCAAACCCAAACAGAAACAAGGAATTTAAATAATTTGGTTATTTTTAAAATAACAACAAAAAGTTCAATTCTGTAATGATCTTCAAATTTCAAGAGATTGCAACACAAAGTTGGACCACCCATCTGATTAGCGCGAGCACGAGCGCGCACATGCACACACGCACGCACGCACGCACGCAGGTATCAGGACTTTTTTGTGCCAAAATTCAGGATTCTGGTTTACTGGTAGGGAGCAGTAACAACAAAGTAAACATCATAATTCCATACCATTCTTCAGAGAATGCAATGAATAGAACTACATTTTTTTAAATGGCAACTTTTTCATCTCTGATATTAAAAACTGATCATCTATTGATAACTGGTACTATTACACTGTATGGATTTTTTTCTTTGTTTGATTGGTTTATGAATTTTATAATCAATTTAACAAGTTGTAAGGGGGGCGGGGGACATGGGACCTTTCAGGATATTTTAAGAAATGTTTTCTTTTGCTTTGCAGTACAGGAGATAAAACCTAACACCTGTGCACATTGGATAAGTACCCTAACTGAGCTATATCCCCAGCCCAAAGAAACTGTTTCAATGTTCAAGAAAACTTCCAAACTGGTGAAGGTTGTAACTTTAAAATGGGAAATGTGGAAGTTTGAAGATTTCATCAAGGAAAACCATCAGAAAACACACACACACATTCAGCCTCCAACTAACCCTAAATACCTGGTAGTCACTAGTGGAGGCCTTGTATGCTGTAGCAAGAGGCCTCATGGTAGAAACCCTAGGAGTGCTTCCAGGCTGTGTTGGAGTGCCTAAGGTCTTGATTGGTGTAAAGGCTAGAGATGGAGATGACAAGGCTCCTCTGTCACTGTTTTCCATGACACTCTGGAGAAACAAAGAAACACAGGATACACCATTATCTTATACTATATAATATTTCACAGAAAACCTTACTAAAAAAGGCTATCAGATTTAATCATAAAAACTTTTCAAATAAATTTAGCTTTGAGAAGATAGAATGTTTCTTAGCTAGAATTTGAGACCTAACCCTCAGCCACATCAAACAGCCTGAATCTAATTATATACCACATGAACAAGAATCTCTGAGCAAAATGGATGTTTGGGAAGAAACAAGAGTTCCAGAGAGAGAGAAAGGAATGGTGATGAACAAGACCAATTATGTGATATACATGTATGAAATCTTTTTTTGAAGCACCTCAGGACAGAACCTATGGTAAGTCAGCAAAGACAAAACAAAAGAAAAACCCTGATTCATGTAACTGTACAATAACTCTTGTGCCATCAGCTAACCCAAAGGAAGAGAGAACTCTGGGGGTCCTGAGTACTAAGAGGCTTCAGACTTTTGAGTCTCCCTTCCTATTCCGGGTCCCCTTAAGGAGTCTAAGACAAACACCATCTGCTTTGTCCATTTCTATGTGTACTGGCAGCAAAGTGCCTAGCATGTACATTCAGGTAGAAGTTTGCATATACAATTACTTCAACTATGTTCAAACTGATTGTTTTAAGCCACAAAGAAAAGTTTTAGCTCTACTCACTAATGTTGAAAAAGTACATATAAAATAAACTGTAAAGACTTGAAATAGAAATGAGTATCAGAAAACTTTAGCTATTATTTATGATTAACCATCACTTAGCATCTATGTGAAGTGCCGCTGCAGACACAGCACCAGTCATTAGAGTTCACTGACTCTGATGCTGTTCTGAGCAGGAGGCAGAGTAGGTTAGTAGTTCAGAGTCTAAACTACAGACCTCACTTTAATAACTTTACACAGGCTCTTCAGGCCTTTCTTTTTTGAAAAATAAAAGGGTGTAGACAGATTATCTCTAACATCTTATGATTACTTTTGGACTACTGCAGTGCCATATTATCACAGACACCATTTTACAAACTAACAAAAAGAAGTACAGTGAGGCTAGGGGGCAAACACTGTATGTCAATACTTATCTGTGCTCTCATACAGACTAAAGTTATTTTCCTTAAATCACCCACAACTTACTTTATCTATACATGGCTTGACACCAATCATGATGGACTCTCCAAATATTCTCCCATCTTTGCTTAAGGCTTTCCGGGCTTGCAATTTAGACTGGTAACGAATATGCATCCAGTTGCCTGTGTTAGACATCTGCAAAGAATGAAGTTATTTCTTAAGATACAAAACCCATACCCAACATACAAACACGAGAACAAAACTAACTTTCATTTTTTTATTTAGTTCCCAGTAAAAAGCTGCAAGTTAGAATTCAGAAAGATCCTATGGAAACAGCTTCAATAATCCCACATAGAACATGTGGCAAATATTCTCTAAAGGTAAAAGGAACTCTCAAAAGAATTATCTCCTACAGAAACGTTGTAGTAGCAACTATCATGAAATTCTAAAAAGCTACACTATGGTTAGTATTCAGACATCTGCACTAGCCTGTCCTCGGGGTTCTGACAGGATACTCCCTCAGCTGTAGACAACTAAGAGCACCACTTGTGCATATTCACTATGTTCCCTTTTAAAATAGCCCTGCCCACCTCCCGTCCTTCTCTCTTTCTCTCTCTCTCCCTCTCTGTCTGCTCTGCTTTCTCCCCCTCTCTCTCCTCCTTTTTCCTCTCTCCTGGTGCTCCTGTCTCCCCCATCCCTTTTCCCTTTTTATGATCCCTTTCCCTAATAAAAGGACCCCTCTGCTTGAACCCTGTCACATAGCATCTTTCTCTCGTGTGTGCTTTTCTTAAGTCACAACACTTGTGAACATGATTTTGTGAAGAACTGAAATAGTAGAAATGCAAACTGGGCATGACCTGCATATGGTCTCTGAAGGCTGTTGTAGTATAAAGAACTCTAAAAGTGACCCCAGCAGCTCTGCCTCCCCTTCCTCTGTTCCCAATAAAGCTTAAGAGAAAAATATTAATGTAATATGAGATATATTATTAACCTTAGGAGGCTGTGAAGTATTTAAGAAATGGAGGGTGGACCCTGAAACTCACTCGACTCTATTTATTCCTTCTTAGAAAACATTACAAAAGTTGAGTCTTCTAGACTCCCTAGTGTATATTCTTTGAAAAATAAAAAGCTAAATTTAAATTTAGAAAAAAGACAAAATTCAGAAGTGTTCAATTTATAACTTTTGTTTCCATAACCAAGATCTAATTGAAGAAAAAAGTATTAGCAAACCTTACCACATGCTTTAAGATATTCCCATATTGTGCAAACTGTAATAATATATAAGAAGCAGATGCTTGTGGAAACCTGGGGGGAAAAATTGCCCATTATCAGTACAAAAGCAAACTAGCATACCACACTTCTCTACGGTAAGTATGTCAGTCACTCAAAGGCCATACCTTAAAATTACTTTTGACTCAGCTATTCTCCATTCTCAGAACCCATCTGTAAAAATCTTTCAAGTTTCCACACCCATAGCTTATTACCATAGCTATTCAACAGTCTGATGCAGGTCTTCTGGTATACATTACAATGTGTATTTATTTATAGGTGTGTAACAAGAAGGGGGAACTTTTAAAATTATAACACTGTATCACTCTGTACCACGCATCACCTTAAGATTTATGGAATTTAGTGCTCAAAAATAAAACAGCATCAATAACAGCTAAAACATTACTTTAAAAGGATGACACTCAAAAATAAAATTAGCATCAATAACAATGATATTAATTACTTGAAAATGATTCATTATTACAAAATTACTTGAGGGTGATATTCAATAATTTTAATAGGCATATCTTTAAGAGAATACTAAGTCTTATACAGTTTGAAAATTTTACAAGGTATGATTACTTCTGTAGTCCAAATAATGAAGTGGTTTTCTGTTTGAAAATAGTAATAGCTATTACCAGCATAGAAAAATATCTGAAAAATTTTAAACCAATATAAATTAACCTGGAACTTCAATTAAATAGCCTTAAAAGGGTGTGTGTATGGGGGGGGGGGGGATCTGTGAAATTAAACACATTAAATTAAGTATAAGTAAACCAGGGGCCATGGCACGTGCCTTTAATCCCAGCACTAGGGAGGTAGAGGCAGGAGGATCTCTGAGTTCAAGGCCAGGAAACCCCTCCATCAATGTGAATAAAACACTGAATTCAAAACTGAAATTTCATTTTTATTTATTTATACATCTCTAGACATAAGATTTTTAAATTTCAAAAGAGCAACAAATAAATAAGATACAAAAATGGAAAAAATAATGGTTGCATATGAAGATGGCATTTAAGAAATAAACCATGGTTTTTATGCTCTTCGGTCACTTTTAGTAAAATCCAATATTCTAGTACTCTTTAAGATAATCATCCAAAATGATGGATGCTTTATTTTTTTTATTACTATGACCGCAAGTTGACAAAAACATTAAACAAGCAAAGAAAGAGCATATAATTAATGTATCAGTGAAATACTTCCCTTAAATGATCAAAGTGTTTTATTTCTTAAAAAAAGAAATGCTTCAGTAAACACATATGAAATATTTAAAACACAAATGTAATGTATTAAGATACAGCATTATAAAATCTTAAATATTTTTTAAAACAATGGAAGTAACTCAAATACTTTTTCTAACTACTGGAAATCTTCAAATTCACACTAATACTCCAGAATCTAAAAAACAGACTAAGAAATAGACAGACATGCATGCTCAACACTACTCTTACTTCATGAGAAAAAAATGAAAATTTTAAACACTGAAAAGCAAAATCAAGTAGCCAGCTCAAATATCAGGGACATGAGGCTTTGCAAGGTTTCCAAAGAAAACAAGGGAATACAATCACTAAAGCATTCAGTAACAGGCAATCAAACCGGTGGCCACCGTGCCTTAAAGGGAAAGGCCAGTTACAGTTGGGAACAAAAACAGGATGTAAGACTTTCCAACACGAATTCTTATACACGTTTTGAATTTCTAAATGTTAACATAGATTTAAATGCCTAAAAACCCAATACATATTTTATTGTCCTATTATTCTTCCTTCAAGGAGCCCTATGTGTTACCTTTATATATTTTACTCCCAAAATAAACATAGTAAGGTGCGATATAAGACAACTACACTTTGAGAATTAATCTGTATGTGCTATTTAATGAGTTGTGATCCTCTAAAGAAACCACTTTCTGTCTATAGTGCATTTTCCTCATCTGTGTAAGTAAAAGATACACTGGTATCTCTAAGGTGCTTAAACTATGATAGCAACAAAATTTATTCTGCTGCATCTAGGAGTGTGACACCTTTGTGACACAGAGCATAAACATAAATGGATCTCAGCACTGACAGCTCTAGCCAGATCAGATGACTAAAGCCCAGAAGGAGCCACTAGAAAATGCAGAAAGGGGATCCTAAATCTAAAGGGACAGTCTTGCCTTTAACACCTAGGAAATAATTGGGAAGAGTATGCACAAATGGTCTTTATGATACAAAAATTAAGTTCTAGCTAATGATATCCATGATGTGGATGGTATGCACAGGGATGATTCACATTGCTGTCTGCAACAATAGTAGCAGCAACAGTAAAGAACTGATAAGACAATCGAGGTAAATGCTGCCAGCTATTCATAGTTATAAATTCTAAAAGTAGGTGTTATCCATGTTTGCTGTCCAAGTCTTTCAAAGCTTCTGCACTGTTCAACAATATGCTAATACTGGGGTGAGGTGATTTTCTTAAAAGGTCCATAATCTTACCCAAATACAGTCACCCAAGTGTCATCGAGATGATCTTCTGAAGTCAGAGAATCTCCTTGAGTATAAAAAGGATCCAACTGGGCAGGAGATAGAGTCGTCTTTCGTGGCTGACCAATATTTGCTGGACTAAACATGCTTTGTCCTATATTGGTAAATTTAGGAAGTTAGTTACCAATATAAACACATGGGCTTATTTTAAAACAAAGTATATTAAAAGTTGACGATAATTTTGTCTTTGAGATGGGGTTTCACTACATAGGCTGGCTTCAAACTTGTAATCCTCCTGAATCAGTCTTCTGTGCTCAGATTACACATATATGCCATCAGACATGATTCTACATTTGATTACTCTGAAATTAAGTACTAATGTTACATCATATGCACCTTAAACATTTGAAAATTCCCAAAAGAAAACAACAGAAGCTCCCCTTCCTCCCCAACACTCCATGCTGGAGATAAAACCAAGAGGGCAACTGCACTGTCACTGAGCTACACTCCAATCCTTGGTTGTTTAAGCCACATGATCCTCTGCATCTGCTAGGATTGAAGATGTATGCCACCAAAACTTCTTTCTTTCTTTCTTTCTTTCTTTCTTTCTTTCTTTCTTTCTTTCTTTCTTTCTTTTTGAAGTTTTTTGAAAGAGGGTTTCTCTGTATTAACAGTTCTGGCTGTCCTGGAACTCAATCTGTAGACCAAGATAGCTTCAAGCTCCAAAGACATGTGCCACCACTGTCTGGCTGCCACCAAACCTACCAAAAGCTTATTTCATCTCAAAGGTCTTATCAATTAAGACTACATATTTCTAAGAAGTAAACACAAATTTTCTTTAATTTTTACAATAGAAGTGATTTATTCAGTTCAGGAAATCACTTCACATATATGGAACAATAGTCTTGATGTTACAGGCACAACAGTATAAATCTTAAAAATATGAAACCAAACACATGCTTCTAATGGGGCCTAAATTCTAGAACAAAGACAGATATGTAATGTTTAAATGCATACAATCCTAGACAATCAACTACCAATTAGCAAAGAGAGAGGACACAGGAGAAGACAGAATGAAAGCATAATGAACACAATGCAAAGCACATCAATGTTCAAGAGTGGTGACTAGGTGAAAATAATGGCCAGTGCAAGGCCCCCAGAAGGTTAGGGCTGGTGTTGAATAAAAGCAAGTAATCCACTACTTCCCACTGGGCAAGGAAGATTGAGAATATCAGACCCATAAAGTAGCCCTTATAAAAGCAACCGTAAGGGCTTTGGCTTGTACCTCAGAAGAAGCTGGGAAAAAAAAAAAAAAAAAAAAACAAGAACACTATGAACAAGAGTGACAATAATGGACAAGAAAACTATAAATGTGAAATAAGAGCATAGAACCCCATTAAGGACATACCAAGTCATTCCTCAAATGTTCAATTTTACTCCCTAACAGTCCTGTAAAATCAGAAAACAGGATGCTATAGAGACAGGAAGTTAACAAGAAAGGAAACCATGTAGAAGGCAGTTGGAAATCCCTTTCAAACAGGCAATCAGTATAGTCCTTCCACAATAATCCAGTTACATTTGTATTACCACATTATCAGTACATAAGTGTAATCCAGAGACCCTGGGCCCCAGCAAGAACTTCTCAGGCTCAGGCAAGACCAGATTACCTCTAATGATAAGATAATGACAAGTTTCAATTGCCTTTCATTTCTGCCCCTGTGAGCACACATGACTTGCCCAGGACTTTGTCATGTGTTTGATGGAGCGAGAAGCAGCTTATAAAACTGCAGCTGTGTCTTATTAAACCAGACACTGACTGTGAGAAACATAAAACTTCACCAGTCCTTATCATGAAAACTATTTTAGAAAAAATTTTTTTCATTTCAAAACTATTGATTAAACGAAATGAGTTTACTATTAAGTACACCGCATTCCAAGCCCCAAAAGTTTACTTTTAAATGAACACACATTTAAAATTTTTGCCTTAACTTACCATTTTTAAAAGAGGATATAACAAACGAACAAATTACAATGAGGTAAGTCTTAACACCACACTTTTTACCCAGTGATCAGGTAACTCTGGTTCCTAACAACCACAACCCGCTCTATGACACAGTAATTACATTCAATGGATATTAGTTCCTCTTGCATATTGATGACCAAGTATCTAACAGATACAACTCATAGGAGGACAGAGGGTTTGGGGTTCATGTTTCCAGGGGATTTAAGGCTATCACAATAGAGAACAGCTCTCTCTCTCCTCTCTCTCCTCTCTCTCTCTCTCTCTCTCTCTCTCTCAATGGGAGTGTGAGGTAGAGTAGATGTACATACTGTGGAAGGCCAGGAAACACTTGCAGGCTGGAACTGGAGGACAAGCAATGAATCTACTCAACTACTTTCACCAGCCAGACCCTACCTCCTAAGGGCTCCATATCTTTCAAAACAGTACCACCAGCTGGGAAAAGAGCATTCAAAACAATAAACCCTTAGAGGACATTTCAGATCCAAGCAGTAACATCCCACCTCTGCCCCAATGTTTCCTAGTCATCTCATAATAGGAAATCTTTTAGTCTACAACAAAAGTCCCCACAGTTTTAGTAGTATAACACATTTCAAAAGTCCAAACAACAAAAAAGCAAATTTATTAAATAAAAACTATAATTTAAATGTACTTCTAACTGAAGAAAAATAAGGTCACCTAAAATTTCAAACATCTCAATTCTCTAAAATATGCTATATAACTTGGGCCAAGAAAGCCATCTAATCTAACCTATTAATGTAGCCTTTACTTTAGGAAAAAGATTAGATCACACCAGATCCATTAAGCTTATTAAGAATTCCTTCAAAGGGGTCAGTCTGATGACTCAGCAGGAGGTAAAGGCACTTTTAACCAAGACACATGACTAGAATTCCATCCCTGAGATCCTCATGGTAGAAGACTCAACTTCTCCAATATGTCCTCTGACTTCAACATGTCAGGAGTACGTACGTACGTACCTACGTACATACATACATACATACATACATACATACATACATACATGGACAAAATAAATGGAAAGAGGCAAATAAACTAAAAGGTTGCTAGCTACATATAAGCTGTTATCCTTAGTTTTGACTGTCTACTTGACACACATAGAATCAGGTAGAGAATCTCCTGAGGAACTGGCTACAGCAGCCTGGCCTATAGGCATGCTTGAAATGGATGTTGTTGGCTGTATAAGTGGAAAGACTTGACTTCTGTGGGTGGGGCCATCTCCTAGCTGGGATGCAGGATTGTAAAAATGGAGAAATTAGGCTAAACATGCATGCATTAACTCATAGTTCTTTGCTCTTTAGTGTGGACAATGTGACCAAATAAATGGCTTCAGGTCCCTGCTGCCTTGATTTCTATACAATGACAGGCTGTAGTATGAAACTGTAAGGCAAGCCCTTTCTCCCTTAAGTTGCTTTTGTCAAGGTATTGTTTTAATCAATGCAACAGGAAGAGAAACTAAAACATCTTATAATATACTGAACAATTACTCTTGTCATCAGAGACAGATTTAATAGGTAAACTCTATTTTTAGAATAAGACATTTAAAATGGAACATTATAGGGACTGGAGAGTTGTCTCACAGATGACCTAAGTTTAATTCCTAGCACCCACATCAGGCAGCACACAATTGACTGTAATTCCAACTTCAGAGGATCCAATGCCCTCTTCAGAACTTTACAGGCACTGTCTTTACATGTACAATCACACAGACACACATAATTAAAATTTAATCTTGCTAGGTATAGTGTCACATCTTCAATCCCAACACTTAGCAGGCAAAAGAGGATCTTTGTGAGTTCAAGGCCAATCTGGTATAAATGGCAAAGTACAGGCCAATCAGGGCTACACAATGATACTGTCTCAAATCTAAATAAATAAACCTAATCAACCATCCCTTTAAAATCTAATTTTTTTACAAAGATAGGCCTTTAGTAAGCCAAAGACAATAAAAGGTATATTAGTATAAAACCTGAAGCCAATTAAATTTTTTATGCCCTGTATAACCATAAGATGCAGTTTAGTTATGCTATATCATGTAATAACCTTCAAGCAAGAAATTAAATTAAGGCTCAAGTTGAGACAACAATTATGACCTTTAAAAAGACAAATCAAAATTAAGTCTCAAATGAATAAGCAATCTAATTTTTGCCTTGTCAACTAATCTAAAAAATGTAATTACTTATACTAATCGAAGAGTATTTACATAAGTTTAGTATAATTGCTCCCCACCAACTTAATATTTAACTGCTCCACTGATTTCACTTCCTTTAAATCAAAATTCTGATACCAATACTCTATGCTTAAGATGAAAATAAAGTGTACCTATCAAACCACATCAAATTAGACTATAATTTATCTCCCTTGGTAAATCACTATCCAAACATCCTTCATAAAATCAGATTAACAAGAGGGCAAAAAGCCCTTATTATCCTTCAGTTAAAAAACAGATCCAATTATTTCAAAATAATGAAAATAAAAGAAAAATTATAGGAATTTTCAAAAGGACATGATAAATGAACATTGGAAAAGGAGTTCTTGGTCATGACACCTTCTTACCAAGAAAACAAGAAGCACAGATGTGTCATAAAGATTTTTGCCTCAGTCCAATGTACAACAGGGTCTGTTTGATTCCTGGGAAAAAATACCTAGGAATTTCCCCAACAATACATGTGTCATAGTAGGTTCCTCAGAATGAATCTGATGGCTTATACAAACGAGATGACTCATGGTCATTCCAGACAGATCACAATAGCACCTGCAATGGTTTCTGAGAGCCTTTCATATAAATTATCAAAACTTAGGCTTATTTTGGTAACCCCCAGATTTCTATCCAACCCATCTGAGGATATGATAACCCGAAGTATCCTCTAACTCAAGCCTGTGTGCGAAGTGAAGACGAATAGCGGATGCTTTCCTTACAGTGTATGGTCTGACACACTCACTGTATCCAGCTGTACCCTGGACAGTGGACAAAGTACCTAATGATGCAGAGTGAAAAGAACCCCTCAAAACTCAGAGTCCACTCATAAAAAGAGACAATAATGAAAGGGTAAAGTGAAAATCTGTATAATGAAAAGGGATATTTGCCTGTCTGCACTCAGAACACTAGCCAGGCAACTTTGATGTCTGTTAAGGCTTTTCTTTGAGAAAAAGACTAAAAGGGGGGGGGGGGTGACTATATTCACTGAAATTAGTCTCCAATTTAGCCCGGCCCAAAATATTCAGCCTATTATCCAATTCTCTTACAGTGCAGCATAGTAAGAAACAAGAGAGCTTCTATTAATCTTCCCCCAATTCCAAACAATGTGGACCCCTACCTATGCAAAAGATTCCATGTAGCTAGCTTTTTCATATCATGTTCAATAAATATGCTTTTGTCAACAAATGACAAAAGAGAGAAAATAAGTACAAGAAAGAGAGAGAAAGAAGCAGAATAGGAATTTAAAAGTATACCACTAACCTCAGCTGCTAAGACATCTTTAAAGAAGAGGATGTTACATTTCTTAAGTTCATTCAAAACAAACAAACAAACAAAAACCTACAGAAATTAAGATGTCACAAAGAAAGACTCATTGAGGAAACCTGAAAAGGAGGCATATAAATGTGGATGGTAATGGAGAAGAGAAAAAAACGGAATTACAATACTCCAAGGGATCCAAATACAAACAAAAGGAATTCCTCAAAGAGGGAAAGCAAGCACCTAAGATCCAGATAGGAAGTTCCTCAGAACTAAAGGATATTCCTTACTTAAAGGATCCATCAATTCCTAAGGAAAAAAAAAGGAAGAAAATCCTACAACAAAGCACACTGTGAAACTGAGAACACAAACCATGTAGAAATCATAAATTTTTCTCCCAACAATCATGAGTTGTCATGGCAGATAACTTCCACAGAACACTGCAAGGTAGAAGACAAAGGAACTCTGTCTCTGAAATTCCAATCTCAAATATGAATATTACAAGAAGCATTTGTGTTTTACTTATTCTTCAAGCTTTATGGTAAAACTACTCAAATACATGCCTCACCAAAAAGAAAATGGGAGATACACAACTAGAAAAAAGGCAAATCCTACTCAACTGAAGAATGGATAGAGAAAATGTGGTACATTTACACAATGGAGTACTACTCAGCAGAAAAAAACATTGGAATCTTGAAATTTGCAGGAAAATGCATGGAACTAGAAGAAACCATTCTGAGCGAGGTAATCTAATCACAAAAAGACAAACATGATATGTACTCACTCATATGTGGATTTTAGACATAGAGTAAAGGATTATCAGTCTACAATCCACACTGCCAGAAGTTAGTAAACAAGGATGACACTAAGAGAGACATACATGGTCTCCTGGAGAAGGGGAAATGGTCAAGATCCCCTGAGCAAATTGAGAGCACAGGAAAGAAGCGGAAGGGAGCTACAAGAATGCGAAAGGAAGAAGAGGAAGGATGCAGAGGTCATGAGGGAGCAGAAAGGTTGAGTCAGGGGAAGAATAGAAGAAAGGATATGTGATAGGTAGGGTTTTAGTTGGGGGGGGGGGGGGGGGGGGGGCGAACAATCTTGTTTCTAATTCAAATAAAAAAAATCTGAAATGAAAAAAAAAAGCATTTCATTATGTAAGAAAAAAAAAAAAAAGGAAAAAGGCAAATCCTAGAATAACAGTTGTTCACACTCTGAAACAGCAAACTACCAGGAGAGTGATGTTCTCAGTTTAAAAGGAAACAAGTAACAACAAAAAAAGTGCTTGTAGCTGGTCATTTTACAAAAAAAGATATGTATCATAGAAACAATGTTTGCTTAAAGGAGCACAGAGAAAACCAAATTAACAAGAACTACAGATGGAATACTGACAGAACAGTTTGCTTAGGATACACAAGACCCTGGGTTCAATCTCCAGCACTGCCAACAAATCTAAGAAAGGGGAGAGAGGGAAATAAAAAGACAATTTTTGTACTAGTTAGCTATAACTGTCAACTTGACCAGTCTAGAGTCACCTGAGAAGGTGATCTCATGTGAGGGTTGGCCTGTGGCCATTTCTGTAGGGGACTTCCTTGATTATTAAATGATGTAGGTGTCCTGGATGGAGTGATAAGAAAGCCAGTTGAACATGGATCTGCAAGCAAGCTAGCAAGCAGCATTCCTCCATGGTTTCTATTTGACTTCCTACCCTAACTTCCTTCAATGATAAGACTATAATCTCTAAACTGAAATTAACCCATTCAGACAAGAGTGTAAATATATCATAAATTACCTCAAGAAAACACAGCAAAATTTAAAAACTGAAATTTAAAACTTAGCAATGTAAGATTATGTTAGCTAAGTAATAGCCCTCTGGGAAAATCATGTCCTACAACCTGAAGTCTGTGGATGTTACCTCATTCAGTAAAACAGACTCCAAAGACAGGTTTATGAATGTAAAGATAGAGTACCCAAGATAATTCAGGAGGACACATTTATTGGCCCCTATCCTTGTAAGAAGGAAGAGAAGGTTTTGCAAGAAGAGGTGCAATGGTTACTTTATTACTGTATATGGTACCAGCCTTTTGAAACCTCACCCAACCCCTAGTGACAAGGCCACAGCTCCTAATCCTTCCTATACAATTCCACCAACAGGAGACTAAGTATTCAAACATGAGAACTATTAGGGGCCATTCTTATTCAAATCATCACTAGAATTGACACGAAAATGAAGCATAAGCAAGCACACAGTAAAACTCATGCCAGTATAGCACACAACATCACTTCAAAGTTGCAATTTTGGAAACCTAAAGTTTAGGAGTTAAGCAAGAATGGAACATTTATTAACACTAAATATAGGAACTAAGAAATAGCTCCAAGAGAAGTCTACCTTTTTACCAATTTCTCATCAACTTCCTTTTCTGCATCTTGCCTACTATTAGCCATGCCTAAGTCTGTATATCGGCTAGATCTTTTCAAAAACTATTCCTTTTCAGTTGTGCCTCATTAAGACTTTCTATACACAAATTCCTTACATTCAAAGTAGAAGCAGCAGGGTATCTATCTCTGCAGTCAGCTGATGGTAAGTATACTTCCATATCATTATCTTTGCTTCTTATATTCCATTTTTTTGTTGTTGTTGCTATGTTCTTCCTCATGTATCTATACAACCATCTTGCTCTTGGACTGCTCTAGAAGTCTCCAAATGTTCTGTCTCCCTGTTCCCACTTTACTCCCAACCCTTAAACTATTCTCTTTACAGGACCTGTCTAATTCTCACTGTTTTACAACCTTACTGAACTCAGATTGCTATTATGGTGCTCTGCAAAGCCCTGTAGATTACCTCTCTAATTTCAGAGACTTTTAAGCAGCCTCTCTTTCACAGGGCCCATTTCAATCATACCTGTCTCCTGTTCTTCCATGAAGACCCCAGACACACACTGTATTCGCTGTTCCCTTTCCCTCTCTAAAACCTGATTTTTGAACAAAATTTTATTTTTTCTTACCTGTGGATGGGTAAAATAATGCCCCCATCCAAGGATGTCCATAAACTAATTCCCAGAATACCCAGACTACCCTAGAGTATTTGGCAAAAAGGGATTTAAAGTTGCATATAAAATTGAGCCTGCTAATCACCGGCTTTTCAACAAACATTATTTTGAAAGACTAGGGAGGATGACACATTCACAAAGATACTAAATAAATGTATGGAGATGTAACTACAAGAATGGTCAGTGTGGAGGCACATATCTTTAATTCTACCACTTGAGAGACAGAGGTGGAGCTCTATAAGTTTGAGGCCAGCCTGGTCTACATAATAAGTTCCAAGACAGCCAGGACTACATAGTGAAACCCTGTCTCAAAACAAACAAAAAGAATAGTCAGAAATATAAAGTTGCTAACATTAAAAATGGAAGAAGGGGACCATCAGCCAAGAAATGCGAACCATCTCTAGAAACAGAAAAGGTGAAAAAGTGTATTCTCAAACGCCTCTCTAAATTAACAGAGCCCTTCCAATGTTCTCACTTAGTCCACTATAAGTATGGCACTCTTGACCTTCAGAACTGCATCACAACACAGAGTATGGCTCAAGCTATTATTCAGCTTATGGTAACTAATAAAATAACAATAGAAAACGAACATACTAGTCTTTAAACTCCAAGCCCAGCAAGATGAGGTAGCATGACTATACTCCTAACACCCAAGAGCCTGAGACAGAAGGGTAGGAGGAAGAGACTACCCAGCACTACTCAAAAAAAAAAAAAAAAAAAAAAACACTTTAAGTCCCCACCCACCCATACCCTTTCCTCTATACTAAATGCATTAGCTTCTAATGGACTTTAATAAACTTATTGTTTATAAACATAAATCCTGTGACTAATGTTGTCTGTCTGAGGATTATCTACTGTGTTCTGTTTCATACAGCTTGTTACTGAGCAGCTAAATACACATTCAGTGGGAATAATAAACTTTTATAAAGGACCATGTCCTAAGGATGATACTGATAGTAATTAAAATGTTGTTAAAGAAAAGCTAGGGATTACATTCAGTGGCTGTTAGATAATAGCTTGTTGCCAATACCCTCAAAACATCTGTATTGTCTGATCTGAGTATTCTTTCTAATTGCAACAACTCTTTATTTTATACAGTTTTTAATAACTCAGGAAATACTTCAAAAGTCTATTAAGTATGCATTCTTAAATTCTTAATCCTTTTGGTAGAATATCCTATATATAAATTTAGAAAGCAACCTATGCAGCATTGAAATACTTCCTAGAGGAAGTCAGGGAGTCTCCAAATCTAAAGAATCAGACTGTCTGCAATCATCAGAGCAGAGAACAGAGTTTGAGTGAGAGGACTCACCAGTCACTGGAGTTGTAACTCCAACAAGAGGACTCTGCATCACTGAGATGTTTGTCTACATGAACAGAAGAGAGCTAAGTTAAAAACAAAGTTCTAACCACACACAAACACAGTAATTACTAAAGAGCCTTCAATAGCAACTGAATTATTACAATGTACTAGCTAGAGTTGTCTCTAATCAGCTCACACTTCCAAAGGTACTTACTCACTTTTTTGTCTGTCTGACCAGTATTAACCCAAACATGAAAAGATCAAATTTCCTTTGGGTCCTTTAGTATACATTTTTAAATAAGAAACATCGGGCTGCTGAGATGGCTTGGTGTTAAAAGTGCTCTTGCTGCCAAGCTTAACACCTGAGTTCAAGCCCCAGAATCCACATGATGGGAAGAAAGGACCTATCCTACAGGCTAGCCTTGGCCTCCACAGTACATCTTGGCACAAATTTGTCCACAACATACATACACACACAAAGTAAATAAATTAAAACATAGCTTAAAAGAAGTTACATTGGATTTTTAAAAAAATCTTCTGTAGGAATTAATGGTAACATGATAGCTATTTGGTTTTATTTCCCAATGTACAATACAAACTATTGGATATAATAGTGATTTCTTCAAATTATCAAATTCACATAGAAAAAACCAAAAATATATATAATAGAACACATTCAAATGACAACTTTTGTTTAACACTATCAGCATAATCTTACAAAGACGAAATGTATCATTAAGTATCCTTAAATAGGGAATGTAAAACAAGCTTGTTTCCTTGGTCCCCAGACTGATAGCCAGGAAACCAGCATGGGACTGATCCAGACCCCACAAATGTGGGTGTCAGTGAGGAGACCTAGGAAATCTATGGGGCCCCTTGTAATAGATCAGTACTTATCCATAGCATAGGAATGGACTTTGGGATTCCATTTCACATAGAGGGATACTCCCTCAGCCTAGCCACAGGGGGCAGGGCCTAGGCCCTATCCCAAAGGATATGACAGACTCGGAAGACCCCCTATGGAAGGCCTCACCCTCCCTGGAGAGCAGAAAGGGTATGGGATAGGTAGTGTGTTAATGGGGGGGGGGCACAAGGGATGGGGAAAGAGGGAGAGGGAACTGGTATTGACATGTAAAACAATCTTGTTTCTAATCCAAATAATTTTTTTTAATTAAAAAAAAAAAGCTTGTTTCTAAGTTAAATAAATATCTTTAAAAAAACAAAAAAACACACCCTTTTTATAGGTGCTGGTGAGATGGCTCAGCGGTTAAAAGCACTTGCTGTTCTTCCAGAAGACCTGAGTTCAGTTCCCATCACCCATGTCAGGCAGCTTGCAGAGGAGTCTAACAACAGCTTGAAGAGATCCAGGACCATCTTTTGCCCTCTCAGGACATGTACACAGTGGTATATACCCACATAGAGATATACATATACTCAAAAATAAATGTTTTTTTTTAAATCCTCCTATAAGAATAAACAAAAGTCCCACACATTATCCAACTATTTATCTGATTCAAACCAGAGCTGAACATGGTGTCTTAGAATAACTTATTTTGGCCCTTGTTTATTAATAATATTCATACTGACTTCAAAGTCAAAAGCATCTCTTATATACTATGATCTACAACATTTCAAGTAAGGTAATAACTAATTCTAGTTCTCACATATCAGAAGAAAAGTGAGAATAGTCATGAATCCAGAAGACACTACTGGTTCTCATCACAAGCTGCACATCAGCTTTCCTTAGCCTTCAGAATGGTCCCTATTCAGGATGTTCTAGATTTGGCAAACCTAGTGGAGCCCTGTCCATTAAGAAGTGTTACATATGCAAGCCAGGCATTCAATACCTGTAATGAGAATCACTGTACAGGAAGAGCATACCAAAGGGTAGCTTTTTCAGTAAAATAACTACTGAATACCTCTAGAAAAATATATTGGTCATATGTAAATAAAAATTTCATAAAACAAAGCTCTCAGGCCAGGCATGGTGGCAGACACCTTTAATTCCAGCACTTGGGAGGCAGAGAGTGAGAGATCTGTGAAAGTGAGCTCCAGGCCAAGACTACGACTCCTTGTCTCAAAACCACCACCAACAAAGCTCTCAAATCATTATTAAATGTTCACTCTCCAAATACAACCCTGAATTTTCATTTAATTATTTATTTACATATGAGTGCTCTGTCTGCATGTACATCTGCAGGCCAGAAGAAGGCGCCAGATCTCATTATAGATGGTTGTGAGCCAACATGTGGTTACTGGTTGTTGAACTCAGGACCTCTGGAAGAGAAGCCAGGGCTCTTAAGCACTGAGCCATCTCTCCAGCCCTTCATTTTATTTTTATACCAGAAAATAATGCATAAATTTTAAGCTTAAGCAAGTGGAATGACTTAAACCCCTAATTATACTCTACATTTGCAATAATCAGGCTGGGAACATGAACAAGTTAATAAGACAAACCTACAAAAACCACAGAATCACTAAGTGAGAAAACAATCTAGAGTCTACTTACTACCTTTCTCTTTTTTGCTAATACAAGATCTTGCTATGTAGGACAGGCCAACCATCCTCCTGCCTTGCCTCAGTCTCCCAGGTGCTGGGCCTATTATGGGCAGATCTTAGAATTCTGTAACATTTTAAGTACATATATGATAAACATGAATATACATTTACTTGCTTATTCTATGCTCATGCGTCCTCCAGAATAAACATCAGGGAAAACTTTCTAGTTACTGACCTTACTATGTAAGCACACAAAAATAGAAAATGACTAATTATGGAGCATGAGAATTCATGTATCACCTGTCTTCTTGAAGTCAAAGGTGTTGATCCGAGTCCTGGACTGGAAATGTCATCATATATACTTCTAACAGGTGGAGCGCCACTTTTATCTTTATGAGCAGGTACAACTGGCTGTGGTGGTGACCCCCCTAGGATGTATAAAAAACACAGTCCGGTAAAAAAGCAAACTAACCATTCATCTTTCTTCTAAAGTATTAATCTGTGGTTTTGAAATAACAAACTCTTGTTTCCTAGAGCTATTCAACCTTTAATATGTGTAACAGTCACCTGGGGCTCCTGTTTCATGTCAGTGTCTGATTTAAATGGCACAGATAGAACCAGTGACTACAATTCTAACAAGCTCCCAAGTGATGTCACAATGTGGGTTAGCGGCAGACTGAGCTTTGAATAAAAAGCTCAGAATAAACTGCTACTGGAAACTTTGGTTTTTAAAAAATACATGTAATGTTGCTTTCTCTATTATATGAGTAACATAACACACAATGTGATTAATCCCAGAACTACACATGGTGACATATGCCCTTGGTCCTAACTACCCAGGAGACTGAGTTGGGCAGATCACCTGGAATACAAGGTCAAGGCCAGCACTGATAATATATTAAGGCCCTGTCTCAAAACAAATAAAATACATAATTTCTTCCTTGAAAGTATGTATTAAATAACCCCATTTATATTTATATATACATATCTGAATAATTAAAATGACCCCAATAAGAAATTTGATTGTCAAAACAGATCCTATTTATAATTCTTATAGTAGAAACATGTTTAATAATAACATAAAAAAGAACCAACTTTTGTGACACAAACAATGTAAACAATGAAGCAGCCCTGGCCTTTATTTAAACAAATGCAAAAGCTTCTACAGGACTCCGGCTACTCAGAGGCCAGACTATGGAAAGAGACTGAGCTGGGTTCAAGCTTCATGTTGTTACTATAAGAGCAAGTATTGTCAAATTATTACATAGCTTCAGATTCCTCTTCTGAAATACCATCTTTTGAAAAATGGAACTATTGCTACCTTTTTTTTCAAACTGTTTTCTTGTTGTTTTTCGAGACAGGGATTCTTCTTTATATGTTTGTAACCTTGGCTGTCCTGAAGCTAGCTGACTCCTGACGGCTGGGATTAAAGGCGTACACCACCACCGCCTGGCTCAAACTGTTTTTTCTGCTTTTGGTTTTTGGTTTTTTGGGTTTTTTTTGTTTTGTTTTGTTTTGAGACAGGGTTTCTCTGTGCAGCTTTGGAGCCTATCCTGGCACTAGCTCTGGAGACCAGGCTGACCTCGAACTCACAGAGATCCACCTGCCTCTGCCTCCCGAGTGCTGGGATTAAAGGTGTGCACCACCAACGCCCGGCATCAAACTGATTTTTTTTATATGATGTAAATATAAAATGATTAGCATTCAGCTTAGCTCACCACTTAGTCAAGATGCTGGTGGGGTTTTGTTGCTTTATTGTTTTTAGACAGGTGGTCTATGGCTCAAACTAACCTCCAAATCACTATGTGGGAAAGGATGTCCTTGAATTACTATCTATTTCCTAAATGCTGGATTATAGGCTTTCACCACCATGCTTGGCTATATTTATGGCTTTTTAGACAGGCTTTTAAAGGGCCCCAGCTTGCCTGAAACACCCTATATGGCTCACAGTGGCCTTGAATTCACAGTCCTCCTACATCAGCCTCCTGGGTGCTGGGGCTATAGAAGGTAACCACCAGGCTGGGCTAAGGCATAACTTTATAATTAAAGTATTTAAAAAATAATAATGTGTTGGTTGAAGGAGAATGCTACACCACTACTCCTCTGAAATTCTACTGTGCATACTGACATACCATAATAGTACTATAAGCAATTAACCCACCTGAAAGCAAAGGTGATCTCATTTCCATTACTCCTACTGAAGGGCCACTAATTGATCGAGGTTGTGGAGTCACGGGAGCAGGTAAATCCCCCATTAAAAATCCAGGTAAGAACTGGGCATTAACACCTGTCTTTGGAGATGTCGGTGAACCCAGCATCATTGGTTCAGATCCTAAATTAATAATAAAAAAAAGATATAAAATAAAGTCATTTCTGTTATAATATCTAGGAAATAGATACAGCAATTTATAATAAAATTGAATAATTTAACCAAAAAAAATATTATGAACTATAGTTGAATTTGCTTTAAAAGTTACCAAGGACTCTTTCAAAAATGTAAACACTCTTATATCCAGAATACTAACCTTTCCCTCATTCTTATGATGCCAGAGATCCAGCCCAGGGCTTTGCCCACAATGTTAATATTTGGAAGATGGTCCTGGTTATATTATTTCACTGATAAAAACACCATTTGAAATGCCTGGCTTATTATTTTAAAAGACATCTCTAATATAAGCAGAATAACTTTTTCTAGTTTCTACTGTGCAACCAAAAACAAGAATATACTAATTTTATACAAATCTTGACAAATCAGAAGCAATGGGTTTAGTCTCTTCTTCCCTATATATAAAACAGTGAATTATTTCAGTAATAAAAAGGAAATCATGAACATTACAACACTAATAATGTTATAATTTGCCTTTTAACTCAGAAATATAGTGAAAAGAGGTTTTTTTTAAACTAGTTTATTTAAATTTATTTTATGTGCATTGGTGTGAAGGTGTTAGATCTCCTGGAACTGGAGTTATAGATGGTTGTGAGCTGCCATGTGGGTGCTGGGAATTGAACCCTCTGGAAGAACAGCCAGTGCTCTTAACCGCTGAGCCATCTCTCCAGCCCCTAGTGAAAAGAGTTTTAAAACTTATTTTTAGATCATTTATCATTTATTTAAAAAAATTATTTGGAGAACTATAATCAACAAAAGTTTCCCTAAGTGAACACCTCATAATCATCAACTCAAAATTAAATTCTAGAGTTGAAGAGAGACCTCAGTATTTAAAAGCACTGGCTATATCCAGAGGACCCATGTTTGATTCCCAGCACCCACATGGTGGCTCACAAAACTCCAGTTTCCTGAGATGTGATGCCCACTTGTGGTTTCTTTAGATACTAGGCACACGTGGTACATAGAGATAAATGCAGGCAAAAACACCCAAGCACATAAAATAAAAACAAACACATTTTTAAAAAAAATTAACCTTCTCAAATGGCAGCTATGACTACTCCCACTATGAAGATGAGGAAATTATAACTGAATTTTAGAGTAAAAATAAGCAATAAGAAAAGCACAGACTAGCCAGGCGGTTGTGGCGCACCCTTTAATCCTTTAATCCCAGCACTCGGGAGGCAGAGGCAGGCGGACCTCTGTGAGTTCAAGACCAACCTGGTCTACAAGAGCTAGTTCCAGGACAGGCTCCAAAGCTACACAGAGAAACCCTGTCTTGATAAAGAGAAAACCTGTCTTGATAAACAACAACAACAACAGAAAAGCTACACTGTAATTCTTCCATGAATTAATAATTACACAGTGCTAATAATCTAATAATAACTATAGATTTCAAAATAACATTAAACTCAAACCAGAAGTCTCAAAAAAAGGCATATCTGAACAGATATTTAGAAAACTATAGTAACAAAATACAAGGCTTTTGGTAACAACACAAACTACCTTCATTCTATCCTCTACAAAGGGGAAGGGAAATTATGACAGATGTAAGAATTAGGTCAAGGGCTGGTGAGGTGGCTCAGTGGGTAAAAGCCCTTGCCACTAAGCCTAAAGTCAGTCCTCAGGGCACACAAACATACATACAGGTGCACGTCATATAAAGTAAACAATCTAGTTAGATCAAGAAAAATCTGGTTCCCTAAATGCATCGTGATAAAGTAGGAAACCAGACTGTCACTAAATATCCCTTCCTTCATGGCTAGACTTAAAAGCATGATGCGGAGCGGTGGTGGTGGTGCTCGCCTTTAAATCCAGCAATCGGGAGGTAGAGGCAGGCGGATCTCTGTAGGTTTGAGGCCACCCTGGGCTACAGAGTGAGTTCCAGGACAGTCAAGGCTACACTGAGAAAACCTGTCTCATAAAATCAGGGGAAAAAAAAATAGAAAAGAAAAGAAAGCTTAATGACTACATCCTGAATGTCTTAAATGCCACTAAATATTAAGGATCACACTGTTTCACTCAGAGCAGTGTGCGGCGAGAAGGGGCTGGGAGAATGTCAAACCATCAGATAACGTGCAACATGTGAACCTGAACAACTAATATCAGGGAATGGCAGTCTTGGCTAAGCAATTTACAAGGATGTGCTTGTTCACAATATTTATTACCCCAGCAAACGTGCACTCCAAAATCTCACTGTTGAACAGAAAAACCTGGACCCGCTAAGGAAGTTATGAAAATTACCTAGGTCAACATCTGGGCACAAGTTCTAATGCAACAGTGTATTTACATAATTAACCTTATAGGTTCAGTTTGCATGACACGCTGAAAAAAAGAAATCCAATTCGTTAGCTAGTCTTAGAAGAAACTTTTTACCCAAAACATGGCAAGCATTACATACCCCCTTGAATCTACAAAGCTAATGCTGCACCATATATGCCATGTCTGCAATCTTCTCCAAGCTCAGAAAGTTATATAAACTAGTATTTATAAACTATGCAACTGTAGTTACAAGTATATGCAACTGTAGACTGGCTGTTTTTGTTTTCCTATTGTAAAGTATGACCGTTGTCATTGCTCACGAAACTCGACGGGGGTGGGGAATCAGCATGCTAACTTACTAGTTTTTTTTTTCTTTTTCCCTTCCAAAGACGGCACATTCGGAACGTTTCCCCAGCAAATAATGGGAAAGACTCTTTAGACTCGCCAGTCCTCCAACAGAGAGAGAGCCCCATTCCCAAGCAAAGGGCGGGGAAGGCGAGGGGAGCCGGGCTGTTTCTAGGTCTGGCTTTCACACAAAAATTCCTTCTGACAGGGACCCAGAAACCTAGGTGGCTCGGCGGCGGCGGGGCCACCCCGGGGCCCCGGGGGCC